TTAAAGCTCGTTTTACAAAGAAAAATCTATTTTCATTTACTAATAAATAATCATCACATAATATAGTGAGATTTAGTATAGCAGTTATGTAGATCAGATGCAACACATCAACCGTAATATCTTCTTCGAGCTGCATTTAGCATTGACACACGTAATAAACACAACATATACTATTCAAAAAAAGTAGGGGATATTTGATTTTTAAGTGTTATTAAAGTCACCTAATGAAACTGACGAAGAAACAAATGACAAAATGAAATGAAGTTCACATTCATCGATTTATTCCAAATGATCGTTAGACTAAGTAAGGCACAGACTGACCATTATAAGGGTAAAATGATACCCGGGGTCAAACAGCAAAGTTACCACAGCATCACAACCAAGTCAGTAACGGGTAAATCCTCCTCTGTTTGCCAAACAAGCATTGATCCGACGTGGCATACTCCTAATGAGACGTCTAAGGTCATTTTGGTCCAGATTGTCCCATTCCTGTTGCAACGCAGCAGCAAGTTCTTGGACATTGGCAGGACGATGTTGACGTTGACGTAACCTCTGTCCAAGCATGTCCCAGACACGCTCGATGGGGGAGAGGTCGGGACTCAGTGCTGGCCAAGGTAATGTGGTGATGTTCTGTTGTTGGAGGTAACCTGTAACGATCCTGGCCCTGTGACATCTTGCGTTGTCATCCTGGAAGATGAAACGGCGGCCATGACGTCGTGCGAACGGCACAACATGGACTGCCAAAGATGTTGTCCCGGTAGTACTGGCCTGTAACACGCCCTGCAACAACATGTAAAGCCATTCTTCCAGCAACAGTGATGCCTCCCCACACCATAACTGAACCACCCCCAAATCGATCATGTCTGATGACGTTAACGTCTTGGAAGCGCTCGTTTCGACGACGCCACACCCTCCTACGTCTGTCCAAAAAATCAACAGTGAACCTTGACTCATCTGAAAACATCACATTGCTCCAGCGTCGATTATCCCAGTGTTGACGATCCCTACACCAACGACGTCTTGCCTGAATGTGATGCTCTCTCAAACAAGGGATCACGCGAGGACGTCGGGCGCGAAGGTGACCCCTATGCAGTCGATTCCGAATCGTCTGGCCACTCACTCTCACACCAGTGTCTGTTTGAAGACGAGCGCTGATCAGATTTGCTGTGATGACACGATTTCTCAAGGCCAAGGTACGGATAAATCGATCCTGGGCTTGAGTTGTCGCCCTTGGTCGACCTGAGCGTGGTCTGTCCTGTACAGATTGTGTATCACGGTATCTGGACCATAGCCTGCTTATGACAGACTGAGAAACATTCATCGTCCGCGCCACAACCGCCTGTGTTGTGCCGATCTGTAGCATGCCAAGGGCACGTAACCTTTCATTTTGGGTAAGCCGACGCATATCAAAATTTGTTTTCTGGTCACTAAAACAATTAAACTGATGTTTCCACCCTGGAATTCAATGCCACAATGACTGTAACATTCAAAGTCAGAGTCGTGCAAATCTTGGGTTGGACCCCCATGATGATCCCAAGCATCACCTGCATTCCATGCGGTAGCTATTGGTGCGTTTGGGCGTCACATGTAACTGGAAATGTTTCTTCTGTTAGGTTCTATAGTGACTTTTTTCGTAGTCATTTGCATATTTTAGTATTATGCCCCCAAAATCAAATATCCCCTACTTTTTTTGAATAGTATATATATTTCAATGGATGCAATATTGATAATTGGTTAATTAGTTGTTACTTGTTTTTGTATACAATCCTTCTGTATATTATATTCATATGTGAATAACGTAATTAAATCAATCTGTCCCTAATATCATATTTCAATCAATTGAACGTTAAATTTGTAATAAACATCAACATAGACAATCTGAACAACAGATTCACCCTACCTGCAGAGAAGTGAAGCCAGCTACCCTTTAATTTTCATACGTTAGTTACGTACGCAAAATATATTCATCATCATTTGCTTGATGACGTTGGGAGAACCATCTCTTTGAGAGAACCCTCGCTTTAATTAAAATAGTGATCGTGTTCCACATTATCTTTTTGTGTTTATAACACTTAACAGAGCCCGCGAGGTGTGTGTGAGGTGGGTTTTAGCTGGGACAATTATTGTCCAGGAGCCCGGATCCTAGAGGGGCCCAGAGGCATGCCGAGTAACGTTTCAAAACAAAATTGTTGGTGTATAAATAAATAAAAGAAAAAAATACCCTGTTACTTGAAGAAAAAAGCCGGAGACTTGTTTGAATGTGGGTACCGTGGCTTGGGTGTGATTAGAATCGGATTCTACAAAATTGGTGAATTAAAAACTATATGCCAGCATCCGATCATTAAAAACGAAACTCAAAACGAAGGAGGGCGCAGGGGGGGGGGGAAGACCCCCCCCTGCAAAAAGTTTCGCCCCCCCCCCCCCCCGTGAAAAAATTTTCGACCATAAAAAAAATAGTTATACATTGTCCATCAATATTACAGCACCCGGAGAAAACTTCCTGTCCCCTCGTTGCTCTGAGCTAGTTACGACCCTGCTTTCGTCTTCGTTTCGTTAGGCACTAAAAATCTCGATGACAATTACAATGTATCTGGGCCAAATACCGAGAAATTATAGCTGGTCTTATTGGTATTGATTGGCAGTGTACACAAAAGTGTATATTGGCGGCCGATAATGCTAACAGAAACAAATAAATAGGGGTGGAAGAGAGGTCTACTTCTCTATTATTATTTGAACTGAACTTAGTAAGGTAGTCCTGAAAATTTTAATGCGTAAAAATTATGGAAGGGTATCGCTGCCAATATTAAATGCTCTGCTACAATGTCTTTTCCTTTGATTATATGTAAAACGTACAATGTACAAAGTCCTAATACCGGTAATGATAAAGTCAAAATACCTCTAAGGCAAGAGTTAAATGTAAAACGCCAAATGTTAAGTGTTAAATGAAAAATGTTTTGTGGGAAAATACCTCTAAGGTAAGAGTTAAATGTAAAAAGTCAAATGTTAAGTGTTAAACGACAAATGTTTTGTGGGAAAATGCTTTTTTGACGTGTCTACATTTTACATTTCTCTCATTACATTTTACATTTGCTCTCTACCACATCCCATTCGTCCTTCACGCATTCTACATAGCATGTTTCGCACAGCATCAACTTTCATATGCAAATGTAGGATATCACGTGACTTATTATTAACATATACGGAAACCTGGCACACTATAAGCCATAATAAGGCTATTCACGACACTATAACAGGAATCAGCCTAGCACACAATAAAAATCTACTTACCTTGACACTTAGGATGGTACTTTACCATGATTACGGGGGATGGGTGTAGGGGCTGTGCAATGTCCAAATACGAAATTACAGGTATCATGTTAAATATTTCTGTTTGTAAATATGTAAATAGTTTTCTGGTACAATCGTATTTTCATAATTCAAATCCAATAAATATCACACTATTAAAGGGGTATTGAAGTAAAAATACTGGTCTAAATACGAAATTCCAGATACCATGTTACGTATCATTGATTGCTCTTCAAATAAGCAAATAATTTTCTGGCACATTCATATTTGCTTTACTTTAAGATTAAAGTTAAAGTTGAAGTGAAGGAAGGGTGGGGGGGGGGCCTAAACTAAAATAAAGATACGAGGCTTAATCAAACATTCTCTGTCCATACTAAAAAATGTATAGTCATTCCTCTCTTTAAATATATTATTTATTTGTTGGGCACAATGCTTATACATGTATATTGTTTTGGTTTTTTAATGAATCAAGGTTAATTAGGCTGTACTCAACTATGTTTATAGAGAGACCGAAAAGAGTGGGGGCTTGTTTCAAATATCAAAATACGGGTATTAATATGAAATTCCAGTTATTGTGTTATAAATTATTGGAAAGTATGTTTTTTGGCTGTTTGAATCTATCAATTATTTCCTGGCACATTCACGATTACGCACGGTCGTCTAGATAGTTTCTTATGGTGTGTCAGCTTGATTTACTGTTATCGTGCGGTGAATATCCTTATAGTGTATGTGCTGGTTTATAGTGTGCCGGGTTTCCGTATATGTTAATAAGTCACGTGATATCCAACATTTGTATATGAAAGTTGATGCTGTGCGAAAGTTGCTATGTAGAAAGCGTGAAGGACAAATGGGATGTGGCAGAGCGCAAATGTAAAATGTAATGAGAGAAATGTAAAATGTAGACACGTCGAAAAAGCATTTTCCCACAAAACATTTGCCATTTAACACTTAACATTTGACGTTTTACATTTAACTCTTACCTTAGAGGTATTTTGACATTATCATTATCGGTATTAGGACTTTGTACATTGTACTTTTTACATATTATCGATAAAAAAATTGCTGACATATATCATTAAGTTCAAATAGCTAAGTCTCTAACTCATTATCATCCAAAGTCATACACGTTGAAAATACGAATTATTTGTCAATTTAAATTAACATTGATTTTGTGATCTTACCAGGAAAAGACAGGCTTCTGATATCCAATATTTAAGACAAAATAAACATTTTACAATTGGTACACGAATCGTGTACCATACTGCGTTTTAGCGTCATTTGCAACAAGTGACCAGAAAGAACGAGGCTAGACATATTCAACTGGAGAGCCTGCGCAATAGACTGGAATAACCCGACGCTAGAAATTGCTATAGGGTTGAGACATAGGCCGTATTTCGCTGGACATAACTGATTTGAAATTAAGAGTCAAAACGGAAACATAGAATGTAAATCAGTTTATATACAATCAGATTACATTATTATATGCGTTGCGACCCATTTGGGGTCAATTTCGAGGTCCCAAATATTAGCGATTTAGCTCCTTTAATATAAACTAGTTGTGATAAACGTTTTGATTTATCGGTTAGTTGAAATACAAAGTTTATTGTTAAATGTATCGGTTGGTTTGACCTGTTTGTCGTCTGTAATTGACACGTGACTGTGTTTCTAAGAATATGAAACCGTGCTCGTACACCGTTGAATACATTTGTGAATTTATGCAATGGAGTATTATTTAGAATATGAAAGTACACATTTCTTGGTAATTGTAATTAACTAATCTTTCATATTTAGACCTACATCTAATGTGATTGTTAGTTGTATTGATAACATCTACCTGTATGTATTATAAACTTCAATGTAACATGTCAGTAGGTGAGTTTGGGGTTAGACTGACATACAGGTGAGCTGTAACAAAACAATATCATATATTGTCTGTATACATGTTAATGGAGCTATGTTGTAATACAGCTAAGAAATAACTGAACTTTCATAGTTTGGGAGTAAACAAGGAATAATTGAACTTTGTGTAGGCGTATAAGTCAGATGGTTGAAATTTTACAATAAGTGTATATCGCAGGCTATGCCATAAGTTTATATCGTAGGCAATGCCATAATTTGTGAAAAGAAATAACTGAACTCCATATATGTGAATTTTGTACTTCGAGTTGACTTTTATACTTCGAGTTGACTTTTATACTTGTTGACTTGTTTAACTAAAACAACATCAGAATTAAGATTTACACAATCAATGTAATTTGTTGAAAACGACTGTAGTGGACATCCTAGCGTGAATGTAGTGGTCATCTGACCAATCAACATAAACCAATATGGCTGAAAACACAGATAAAATAGTTTGTAGCATTTGTTTAAATGACTTTAAAGAACCCAAAATTCTAGATTGTAAGCACAGCTTTTGTTTAATCTGCCTTGAAGATTATATAAAGACAGTTACAACTGATAATCACTTTCCCTGCCCAATATGTCGTCTCACTATCAATCTCCCTGGTGATGGTGTGAATGGATTCGATACCAATTATCAGCTTGAAGATGAGGTGCTTTCCAAATGTGATGCGTGTCAGATTGGATTTTCTTCTGAATTTAGATGTGAAGACTGCCATCAGTATTTGTGCTGCCCTTGCCGAAAGGTTCATGACACTCTTACAGTAACCCGTAATCACGCGGTGGTTGAATATACCAAATCTTCAGAGAAAGTAAATCAAGAAAACCTAGATCCATGCAAACCAAGCGGAGATAGCCCAGAACCTACAATTAAAGATTTCTGCTCCATCCACCATGACAGGATAGCAGATTATTATTGTAAACAATGTATGGTAGGAGTGTGCTGCCGATGTTTTGTAGAACATCATAATGGACATAGTTTCATAGATGTACTAGATGAAAAGATCAGGGACGAGACTAGAGACGAACTGAACACATTAAAAGATTCTCTGGCAACACAAGTTAAAGACCTCCAGAACTATTCGGATTCCCTGGAGAGAATTATAGCAGATATTAACCAATCGTCTAAAGTCTCATGTAGAAATGTGGACAAGCAGGTCAAGAAGGTCTGTTCACGTATTAAAAGGCTTGCTGAAGATATGAAAGAGAAAATCCAGAAATCTCGTCAAGACCAACGGGAGAAATGCACAGAAAAACTGGAAGAGATGAAGATACTGATTGAGAATTTAAAGGCAAATGTTAAATGTACTGAGAATATACTAGCTGATGACTCGACAGTTGAGGGGTTGAAAAGAATCTCACAAGTAAAAAACGAAAAGGAAGAAACTACTTCGCAGCCATTGAAGTTACCAGTTGTTACGTACACGTGGTTTGAAGAAGAAATCATAGATGACAGAATCTTAGAAGACCAACTTGGAGTATTAAATAATCTAGATGGACCAACTTTTAGAAGTAGTTTTACGGTGGATGAACAGGAGATGTTGGATAACGGTATATATGGAGATGATTATTATATCCAAGGTGTACCCTGTTTTATTCTTGTTAATAGAAACAAAGATGACTCAACCGGAGATGTTTATCTTGGTATTTATCTCTACGTTAATATTTCTGAAGACTCGCATATTAAATCATGGAAGGTTAAATGGTCAGGAAAGCTGGTTAATCGGACGGATAAACAAACCATAACCAGTGCAGAAAGTGATGAGGATTGTGAGGATATTTTGTATACATCTACTGATGATAACTGGGGATGGAAGGAGTTTATAAACTGGAAGATATTTGCAGATGAACGGAATGGCTTTGTGGATAAAGACGGGATATTTTCTGTACAAGCGACTGTTAAAATGATTGAGTCTGTCCGATCTGAAAAATAAAATGAAATGAACTGCAATTAATTTTGAATAACATTATATTTAAAATAACTTCCAAGCTATCAAATTATAAAATATCCAAGGACTGACTTATTTATAGTAATGAGTTTTTTCACAAGGTTTCGTTAAACAATATGAAAAGGATTACAGAATGTACATCACATAAATTAAAACTTAAAAAGTCAATATTTATGTAATTGATGGGTAGGTTTTTCTCAAATGCTGCATGCAGGCTTATTTAATAACCCGCCGATTCAACTGTGTGGGCATTAAAAAAAAGTAAAAAAAATAATAAAGATCAGCTATGTGCTGGTGTCGCTTAAAATTCATCTAATAAAGTTGTTGGTTTTTATTTAAAGGAGCGGGTCCAGATATACTTTAGTGAATATATCAATATTACTTGTTTGTAATACAGATCTACAGATATGAAATAGTTCCAGAATTATTTTATATCTGTAGATCTGTAATACCATATGGTGGAAACAAACTATTCCTTTATTGTAAAATGTCTAGGTAATCATGTCTATAAGCTTGTCATAGCGTGCTTGTATCAGGTCACTCATAATAAGTAAGGATTAGACCCACGTGAGAATAAATTTTGTCGAGTGTTTCTGGATGCACACTGAAACTGTCAGATTATTTGATGTTTATTTATTTTCTTAAAAAGACTCAACGGATTTCCTCTGATATCTGGGATCCCTCCTTTAATTCACAGATGTAACAGCATAATAAAGTGTGAAATAATACAGTCTGTGTATATACATATATAAGCATACTCATTTTAAAAAAAATGAATATAAATCAATAAAGTGTGAAGGAACTAGGGGATAACAATTTAGCTTATTACCAATTTGCGTAGACTATGTCGGATTTTGTACCATCCATAGGTCCCTAGAGTTCATCGGAAACATGGCACGAATGTCTGTCGAGCTTCTTAACTACTCAACCACTAAGAAAGGATATTTTATCAATTTGCCAATGTGACCCCGAGTTCTTTCCCATTCAGAACTACTACACACTGTTTTCTTGAACCGCAGAAAAACTACTCCTGACAGACCTTGAGCCTAGTGTTCTAACGACACAACCATCTAATCTGAACCCGGAATGTCACTTTTCTGTCCTATCCGAGGGACTAGACACTGTTCCTTTTCAGTCCAGCAAGCATCACTCCTGATATCCGTAATCACAACACCACGGAATGTGGATCTTTTATGTGCACTAGATATGGCCTCGTTTTTTTTATCCCTACCGAACAGTTTCAACACACGCCGTGCAGGTGCCACCCTTGAAAAGCTGCATTTTCAATGTTCGTACAATCCGAACAACTAGACAGTATGGATGTAAAAATAAAATCAAACGAGTGCAAAATATCTAACATTAGATACCATATCTCATAACCAGAAGAAAATAACTGCGATAATATTTAAAATATTTTGGATTGTCTGTGCGGTCTTGTAGAATAAAAGATATATCTTAAAAACGTTACAACAAGAAAAATAAATTAATATCAGTAAGCTGTTATCATTTTGCCTCAAACTTAGAGGGTAGAGGGTGTCATGTGTGTGCAGTATATGCTTACAGTGCCCTATTTATCCCGATATTCAGATTAAATTGAATATCCTTGTATAGGGGGTTCGTGTTTGTTGTGTTGATATTATTTGATTGTCGAGGTGGGGGTGGGGGTGGGGGTATAACACATAAAACACAGTTAGATATACAAGTCATATGCTCGATTCCCGATTTCTACATGACAAAGATATATAGTGTTTTGCAAAAAATGGCCGACATCCCAAATGTAAATGATTTCATAACAAATTGACAAAATTATGGATAACAGCGACACCCATAACATATCTTTCCTTGTCGGTTATTTTGTGCAATGTACATTTCCATGCACATTTTTGTGATTAGTGATACCGCTCAGTCAATATTAGTGGTCATTCAAGGTGGTGGCCAGTTTGGGCGATAAAATTTGAATTTTATATAAGGAGCAAGTTTGATGTCAAATTGTACATTTTTGAGGTAGCTGAATCCATTTTCGTACATATTTGGGTACGTGGCTTCCCTGTGGCAATAAAAGAGGAAATCCGTCTAGAGATTTAGGTATCCGATTCTGTATTTGAGATTAATGATTACATCTAACAGGATGGCATTCAGTATCATCTAAATTTTATTTGGACTCTCTGGGCTACGAATGGGGTCACTCCCAGCTCATTGTTGTAGCAGCGTAGCGGGCATGTCGCCTGGGGCTACTTTAAGGTCACCGCGGAAGCAGCGTAGTGAGAGTGTCCCAGCTTGATCAGCAACCTTAATAACAGAACCAAGGTGGCCATGCCTAATGAAAATAACGGGTATTGGAGGCTTTAATAAGATGGCTAAACTAAGAAATGATAGTCGTGATTTCGAGCTCGGTGAAAAATACCATTGGCGCCATTGCAGTGGGGTAGCATTTACCGAGGTCTAGATGCTATGTGGTTCCAGGGTTCATTTTTGCGGACCATTGTCTGTTACATGGTCTGAAAGACGGTCTATTAGAGCACAGAAAATCGGTGACGACAAACAGTGGAACTGGCGATAACTAATACAATATGTATGTCGGCATGCCTAGACGACTGGAAATTGTTTTAGTGTAACCTTTCATTAATTCATCAATGTGTATTTTACAAATCAACAGTCAGGCTGATGTTCTGAAATAGATGACACTCATAAGTTACTTGCACATTATTATAACGCACCTGGAAATCAAACTATTCATCACTCGACATAACCTAAGCAAAAATACTCAGGTGTTTAGTTTGTTTTGTGGGCTCACTATGGGATCCATGTAAGTGACCGTCGGTGCCATGAGCCCATTAGGAGCACAGGAAGCCATTGGCAGACCATGCGCACAGTGGAGACTCAGATTGGGCCCCGGGAAGCCCTACTGGGCGCCCAAATGATCCAATACAAGCGGGGTCTGGGAAGTCGCAATTAGTGTTGATTTTTCGGTATTTAGTGGTTTTTCGGAATTGGGGCTTTTCAGATTTTACCAGTAATAGGTGTAAAAAAGAAACATTTCGTGTTTTGTCGATGTTTTATCGGTGTTTTTCGGTTATTTTCAGTATATAGTGCAGCCGGAGATTTCCACCAAATGCCATACTTAGGTAATGTAAGTGGTTGAGTATTAAATGTTTTCATATGAAGAATTTATGTTCTCCATAATTGTAATTCATGTTTTTTTATTTACACAGGGCTTGAGGATCGGTTTTTTTCTCAGCAAGTAATTACTGGGTGGCATACTATGCATACAAAATGACATATTTAAGAATAAATTCCTGTGTCATAACAATTCAGTGTACTTGATAAGTGAAACATAATGCAATTCTGGAACGTGTAACGACGGTTAGTGAAAGTTTCGGAGAGAACAATTGAGTAAGACCAGATTGGGTGGTGGACATGGTTATAATAAATCGTTTTCTAAACTATTCAATTAGTAGTGCCTGTAAAAGACCCCATTGGTTGTATATTTTTAATATTAATTTGTGCGCGGAGCTTCAGTTGTTCGTCTCATTCGAGGTATTTCCCCGTGAGCCACACAAGCGCCATCATTTTAACGTTTGAGTCCAATGTTCTGACACCACCACCGAACTAATGACCTCATGAATAAGGAATATTTTAGCTAAAACGAACATGGCTATAAACCCCTGGAAATAATATTTGGATTCAGTTTAACCATTTTTATCAGACATGTACAATAGGTGGAAGGCAACATTGCCCTTTAATACAAGACACCTGTCCAAACCAAACAAATTGGCAACCTTTTCGCTAGCGGCAGATACGACTGATCAAGCTGGCAACCTTTTCGTTGGCATCCAATTCAGAATAAAGACCAGAATCGCCCAAACTCATCTATATTTATCAACCAATAAAATCCAACGTTACATGTATAAGATGAAAGTAGAATATATTATACCCTACACTACTACAATATTAAGCAATTCCTTTAGCTCAGAATTGAGGTGTAATTTCGGATTATCGTGCAAAATTCTTAGCATCTTACTACATATGTTCTGAAAGGTAATAAAATAAGCTTTCCAAATATTATTTATAATAGTTGGCACAATCATGTTAAAGGGGTGCACTCTCATCTTAAACGTCGCCAATTTTTCAATATTTTAAAGTAAAAGACCGGTAATATTCCCAGTCAAAATTCGGATCAACGTACAACATTTTGATGATTCAACTACATATATTCTGAAGGATAATTAAGTAAGCACTCCAAATAATATTTGGAAAGCTTATTTAATTAACCTTCAGAATATATTTAGTTGGATCATCAAAATTTTGTACGATGGTCCGAATTTTGACTCGGGATATTAACAGTCTTTCCCTTTAAAATATTCTTAAAAACTGGCGATGTTCAGGTTGAGAGCGCGCCCCTTTAATATGATTGTGCCAACTTTTACTAATAATGTTTGGAAAGCTTGTTTAATTACCTTTCAGAATATATATAGCTGGATGCTCAGAATTACGTTGATCCGAATTTTGACACGGAATATTAACTGTCTTTCCCTTTAGAATATTAAAACATTGGCAGTGTTAGGGTTGAGGGCGCGCCCCTTTAATATGATTTTGCCAACTTTTACTAATAATATTTGGAAAGCGTTTTTAATTACCTTTCAAAATATATTTAGTTGGATTATCAGAATTTTGTACGATGGACCGAATTTTGACTCGGGATATTAACGGTCTTTCTTAAAAATTGGCTATGTTTAGGTTGAAAGCGCACCTCTTTAAGTTTAATATGATTTTGCCAACTTTTACTAATAATACTTGGAAAGCTTACTTAATTATCCTTCACAATATATGTACTTGGATGCTCAAAATTTTGTACGATGATCCGAGTTTTGACTGGGAATATTACCGGTCTTTTACTTTAAAATATTGAAAAATTGGCGACGTTTAAGATGAGAGTGCACCCCTTTAACATGATTGTGCCAACTTTTATGAATAATATTTGGAAAGCTTATTTTATTACCTCTCAGAACATATTGTGAAGTAAGATGCTAAGATTTCTGTACGATAATCCGAAATTACACCTCAATTCTGAGCTAAAGGAATAGCTTAATATTGTAAGAGCGTACGGTATAATATATTCTACTTTCATTTTATACATGTAACGTTGGATTTTATTGGTTGATAAATATAGATGAGTTTGGGCGATTCTGGTCTTTATTCTGAATAGGTTGCCAACGAAAAGGTTGCCAGCTTGGTCTGCCAATTTGTGTTAGGTCCTGTCAAATCTGGTGGGTTTGGTCATGGTCCTCCCGTTTGCTTCCACTACTAAAGACCCCTGCGCGCAAGCGGATTATTGAAATAAAATTGAACCATATATTAGTCCCAAAATGACCTAGTTTATGCCGAATGGAGCTTAAACCAAATTTCTTTCCCTCTCTTAAATACAAACCAGCCGTCACACTCACTGTGTGATTTATCGGTTAGTAAAACTGCAACGTATCTGGATAATTTTATCGGTTGGTTTAACCTGTTTATCGTTGGTATCGTGACTGTATTTGAAAAGTCGATGTTTCTTGCAGAACTAACTTAGACAAACATATAACGTGATTGTTAGTTGTATTGATAACATCTACCTGTGTGTATTATAAATTTCAATGTGACATGTTAATATTGGGTGATATTTGTGTCAGATTAGACTAAAGGTAAGCTGTTGCAAAACAATATCGTACATCCGAATGAAATATCACAAACTGACACGTCAGAGGTAATCAAAATCGCGAGTATATCAATATTTGCTCTAGAAATGTGTTTCCAATTGGAAAGATTATTAAACTGGTCATTAAAGGTGTGACTGCGGCTCGCGGCTAATATCATTTGGAATTTTGTTCCGGAGATATTTTGTTTTGGTTTTGTTCTTCCAGTAAATCCCATCTCAAACTTTTATAAGAGCATTCGGGAAATTTTCGGGTTATACCCCGTTCAGAAACAAATTTCACTATAAAATTAGCTATGTGTGTTGGCTGATAGGTATCATATCGGGATGTCGACTTTCATAATGTGACGACCTGACATCGCGACACTTTTACCCGACATAACAACCTGACATCACGACATTTCAACCCGATAATACCACATTTTTACCCGACAATACCACATTTTTACCCAACAAACGACATTAACAATGTCGTAATGTCGCGTGTAAATGTCATATTGTCGGGTTAAAATGTCGTGATATCGGGTTGCCGAATTTCCAGAACATGGTAGAACAATATTAGGATTATGTAAATGGGATGTACACATTGGCGTGAACATAAGAACCCTTCACGACTGAACAGCTAAACTTATGATATTTGGGGGTTGGATAGCCGAATAGTTAGTACGTGCGCGTTGTATCATAAGGTCTATCATTGAGTCAACTGGCGTGGTTTCGAGTCCCCGGTTGTACGCGACAAGGGGTAGGGTCTCTTGTCCAACCTCGTGGGTTTTCTCCGAGTTAAAAACACGAATTAGAATTCACTATTGGTCCATTTCAATCAATATTGATGTTGTTATCTTGTCGTGAAAATATGAGATCCCAATATTTATGACACAATGAATATTTTAATATCAGCGCACGAGTCGTGTATTATATGGTTTCGGGCGCCATCTGTAATGAGCAAAGAAAGACATACCCTACAAGACAATGTGGAAGTAATTAGTTATGGCTGATTCACAAACGACCGTTGTTTAATTTATACTGTTCGCGTATTTCAACGGACACAATTTTGAAACATTAGTTATAAATAACTTATATACATTCATATTACAGTATTATGTCCTTTGACCCATTTTCGTCTATTTTAAGGTACCAAAGAATAGAGCCATACACCCTCAGCAGCAGAAATGTTATATAGATAATTTGTTGAAATTTATTGCAGTGGTCATCTTGTGACATTACCTCTATATTGCGATAAACATATATTTAAGATCTACATAAACCAACATGGCTGAAAACACAGATACAATTCTGTGTAGCATTTGTTTAAATGACTTTAAAGAACCCAAAATTCTAGATTGTAAGCACAGCTTTTGCTTAATCTGTCTGGAGGATTACATAGAGAAGGTTACAACTGATAACCACTTCCCATGCCCACTTTGTCGCCGCGATATCACTCTTCCCGGTGATGGTGTAAATGAATTCAAAACCAATGATCATCTTGAAAAGGAGGATATTCCAAAATGTGATGCATGTAAAAGTGGAATTTCCTCTGAATTTAGATGTGAAGATTGTCATCAGTATTTGTGCAGCACTTGCAGAAAGGTTCACGACACCCTTACAGTAACCAACAATCACGTGGTAGTTGAATATACTAAATGTTTAGAGAAAGAAAATCGATATTACACGGATCCAGAGAATCCAAGCGGAGATAACCCAGAACCCACAATTAAAGATTTCTGCTCCATCCACCATGACAGGATACCAGATTATTATTGCAAACAATGTATGGTAGGAGTGTGCTGCCGATGTGTTGTAGCAAATCATAATGGACATAGTTTCGAAGATTTACTAGATGAAAAGATCCATGATGAGACTAGAGAGGAACTGAACACATTAAAAGATTCTGTGGAAACACAACTTAAAGACCTTCAGAACTATTCGGATTCCCTGGCGAGGATTGTAACTGATATTAACCTATCTTCTAAAGTCTCATGTAGAAATGTGGACAAGCAGGTTAAGGATTTATGTTCTCTTGTCAAAAAGCTTGGTGAAGACATGAAGGATAAAATCCAGAAGTCTCGCCAAGACCAACTAAAGAAATGCACAGAAAAACTCGAAGAGTTGAAGACAATGATCGAGAATTTAAAGACCAGTGTTCATTGTTTTGAGAGTGTACTAGCTGATGATTCGACAGTTGAAGGGTTGAAATGGATCTCGCAAGTAAAAAAGGAAAACGAAGACACTAGTTTAGAACCATTTAAGTTACCAGTTGTGACGTACACTTGGTTTGAAGAAGAAATTATTGATGACAGAATCTTAGGAGAACAACTTGGTATCTTAGAGAATCTAGATGGACCAACATTTAGAAGTAGTTTTACCGTGGGTAGACCGAAGATGATGGATGTGGATATATACGGGGATGAGTATTATATCCAAGGTATACCTTGTCGCATTAATGTTGTGAAAGAGGGCAAAAGCAGAGGTCTTGGTATTCATCTCTACGTGTATATTTCTCAAGACTCAAATATTAAATCTTGCAAGTTTAAATGGTCAGCAAAGCTTTTTAATCAGACGAATAAATAGCACTCGACAGTAAGAAAGGAGAGTAATGAGGGTCGTTCGTATACATCTACTGTCTCTAGCTGGGGTTGGAACAATTTTATAAAACTAAAAACATTTGCAGATGAACGGAATGGCTTTGTAGATAAAGACGGGGTATTTTTCATACAAATGACTGTTAAAATGATTGAGTCTGAACGTTTTAACAACGTCATATTTAAAATAACTTCAAGTTAAACTCTATGAAAAGGATTAAAGTATTTACATCACTTAAATATAAATTTAAACCACAGTATTATTGTAATGGATCGGTGTATTTGTCTCAGATGATGAGTATAGTCTTTATTGACACCCCCACCTTTAAATTTGTCCTATATTGTCATTGCATAATGATAACCTTGTTGTATTTAAAGGAGCGGTCACGGATATATTTTAGTTGTTTTTGCTCGAACACGGCACTACGACCTACTCTAACATCTAATTCCAAGGGTTCTTTTACGTGTACGCCAATCTGTACACGGGACCTTGCTTTCGCCTATATCCGTTTTCCCTTGCCAAGCCCTCCATCCTGCATCACTGACAATAGGGCACGACGTCGGTCAACACAGGCCGAAAATGAGAACACTTGCGAGCCAACGTCTTACTCATTGAGCCACCGTGACTCCATATTGTTTGATAGTATATTATTGTCTATGTATATAAAGTTTATAATCGTTTGATAGAATATAGTCTTTGTATTTAAAGTTGATATGCCAAACGACTACACCGAGGCTCAAACTCTGACAAATCGTTAGTCAAGTGTCCTAACGACACAACCATCTCCCAGGCATCTTTTACGCCCTGTACTGATATATACTACACGGAATATCATTATTTTTTTGTAATATCTGAAGGACTAGGTACAGTTTGCTTAACGGCCCACTAGCATCAACCCTGGTTGGTATTGAGCCCATCATCCTAACCGCACAACCATTGCTAACGGTTATTTTATGCGCACTAATACTCGGTAAAAGTGACATCGGTTTTCATCCCATTAGAACATTTTCAACGAGAGCCCTACGGGCGTGCCACCTTTTACAAGCTTTATATCCAGTTCCCCAACTATACCACCATGGCTACCGAATCTTTTCCGTACACTTCAATGTTCGTCAAATCACAAGAACTAGACAGCGTTTTCTTGAACCACCGTGCTTTTATATAAGAAAAGAGAACGTGTGCAAAAGATCTAACATCCGATATCACATCTCACTTGCATCCACATGCATAGCTAGATTTATTTGAGGAAAATAACTGTGATGACATTTTCGATTGTCTGTGCTGTGATGTCTTATAAAATAAAAGATATATATGAAACACACCTCTACGTGATTGATTGGTTCCGTTACTACGACTTGTTAAACAAGAAAAAATAATTTAATATCAATAAATTGTTATCATTTAGCCTCCTACACACCAGTTGTAAAGCGTGTCATGTTTTGGCAGCATATGCTTGCAGTTTCATATTTATCCCGACATTTCGATTATATTTAATATCCTTGTCTGGGGTAGGGTGGGGATTATTACGGGACAAAAGGCCAGTTACATATATAAGGTATGTACTCTTTCCCCGATTTGTATGTGACAAAGATAGGGCGTTTTGTGTCCAAAGCGCCCAACGTGTTCCAAAGGTGCCCGACAAGGAAAGGATGTGTTGTAGATATGCACATTCTACATAGCATATCCAAAGTATAAATGATTTCATGACAAATTGACAAAATTATGGACAAGTGGCATCTGGCTTTGTTGTTTAATTTGTTAAATACTTTGTGTGCTGTCAGTTCTCGTCGGTCATTACTCTAACTCGGATTTTTGATATAGTCTAAGCCTTTACATTCACATTAATATAACATATTCTTAAAGGGGCTTTATGAGAGATTAACGAGGTGGCGGTTTTCACTATAAAAGTTAAATTGATCCACTCTGAGCCAAGATATCAGCTTTTGAATTTTTAGGACTAACCTCAATCATCAATACTAAAGTCGGTACGATAAAAAAAAAACATAGTCTCGATTATCCATTTTTGGATTAAATCATCAATGAGCGTTGAGCAGCAAGTTGGATTCAAATCCAGTAAATATCGCAGGCTAGCGATGACATCGAGAGTTGGTAATGGTATGGATAAGTTAATTATTGTCGAATTAATAATTTAGATAACAATTGATCTATTAATATATCGATTTTTATATCGGAAGTTTTGAATGGAATTAAAACATGCTTTATTATCATACATCTCTATAATACAATGTTTGAAAACTTCAATTCTTAAAACAGTTGGCAACTAAAATGACGTTTGTTTACAGTAATTGGCGCTATTGGGCTATAAACAATGGGCATCAGAATATGGGGACATCTCACTGTGCCCCCTGCTATTGTTCTCATGGGAGGATTAATCAAGCAAGGGGATTATCGAATACAATGGTGTTAAAAGTATAGTCTGTTTTTTTTAAACTACTAGGTTTAAACTAATTAACAACTTTATTCACAATAAATTTCGTGAAAGTAACAACAAATACATGTATCAATACATGTATCCTTATATAATGATAGTGAGTTTCTAATCATATATTTGATTGATTTATGAGTACTGTCTGAATGAAAGGTAGGTGAATAATATTCAAGTTACTCGTTAACCAATGACACGTGAACTTAACTTATATATTTTAATCATTAAAATAATTAAATTTTAACTAGGTGAACAGTACTAATAAGGATACAGTCTATAATCCTTTGTTTACTTAAATTTTCACACCACTACCCTATAACACCAGTTGATTGGGGGGCACAGTGAGATTAAACCCAGAATATGGCTAATTCTTGCCTAATTATTAAACTTTTAGAACTTTTAGCTCATTAAATAACTCCGACTTCAATAGACTCATGCGACCAGTCTGAACGTGGGAACTATTTTAATTGTATTGCTAGCATCAGGGTTGTCACAACTTTGTTGTAATTGTTGCAAATAAATTACTACTCCTACTGATTGTATACGATTCAATTTGTATTCACCCTTCTACAAACATTACATGTCTGAGTTGTAACGGCGAGCTGGTTAATTAAGAGTTGTGATATTTCTTGAAATATTACTATTTCCTTTCATTTTGTATTGATCATTATACGGACTTCATAGACTGGAGTGATATTTACGCGTGGTTTTGCTAGAACTGCATTGCCGTATCATATAACTTGATTGACATAGAAAATACACGCTTTATAATATTATTATCAGCTCACCAGCATTTGGGATTTTTCTGAATGAGAAGTGTTTCATTCAGCTTGGTTGATTAAATAATACAGAGCGTCTGTATTACCTTCTTAATACCACGAAGTGTCTTACACGAGTTGTGCTAATACAACTGGTCTGAGGAACGTCTCTATTTCAAACACGCTTCATAGCCATAGAGTTATTTTATTAATGATAGCGCTTCCACGGAAAACGGGTCTGTCTTCGATATCATTTCATTCTGAAAGCGGGTGTGAAAATGCACACAGCCATTTTACACACAAACAGTGTAACTAACCATTATGCCTTGTTTTTGTTCAAATTATCCAATAATAAGACATTGTAGTTGATCGAAGTGAACTGCATGAAGGAGTGCTAACTATTGATTATTTATTTCAATCTTGTGATTTATTTTGTGTCGATATGATTAGAGTTTGTGACTATCGACCGTAGACGGAATTTCGGCTCACCTATTTCAATGAACAGGACTATAAGATATTAATGTATTATTAGGTAAAGTATTTTCTTTTATTTTTACACTTTATAAGATACAATGGTAGTAAAGAAGAATATAGAAAGGATCAGTTAACGAATTTGAGTAAATTGACATATAAATAGTGGAGTAGTCAACTCATAAGATATATCATATTGCTTTATTTGGTACCGTATTCGCTCCCTCATAGCAAGGACACACAAGGCGAATTTTTTACGGCGAATCATTTAGGCTAACCCTTCGCCAACTAATTCCGCGTGCGAATTATATTTGGTATTTTATCGGTTAAAGATTTATCGCCGCTTATATTATGTGTCCAAAAGCACATCAGCGAAAAGTTTGTCCGAATGAATGGGGTTTAACGTCCACTCGACACAAACCAGGTCATTTCGAGAATTGCATGGGAATGAAAATCATCATTCCACGCGGGTCGAAATAAAATAAACCCCTACCCCATCCCACTCTCATACAAATCTATCTAAGCAAAGACGTATAAATATTGCATTTGAACATACGAATTCCGGTTAATATATGAATTTAAAATACAGATGTGACGTCATCCTTTGATGTTGGTGTACCATTATTTGAAATAATTTGAAATAATGGTACGGGCAACGTGCCAAGCGTACATTATTTATACTAGTTGCAATATTGGACGCGCGTGACGTATTTCATTGAAATGCACGTGCTGGATAGTATCTGTATTTTAAGTTGTTTAATGGTCTCATGCAAGACATTGCGTAATATACAGATATTGCACTCGTGCTATCGCACTAGTACAATATCAATATATTACTTAATGTCTCGTACTCGACCATTAAACTACACGTATCGTAATGAACTTTTTATTCAGTAGAGTTCATGATTTGTCGAATGTCATTCTTCATTAATTATATGCTCTAGTCCTCTCACACCCCACCGCCACCGACTATATGAGTTACTAGGTTGGGGAAGCGAAATTACATCATTATTAATGACTTGCGTAAAAGGGAGATGAAGGTAGGGTTTAATGCCTACTTACTACTAAAAACTTTTGGGACTGAACGTATTGTTCAATCTATCTTAAAAAAGAACTGCTTGCGTGTTGGCATCATTCTTTAAATGCACAATGTGAAATCTCGCGGGATTTTATTATATTCCTTGTCACCTACCAGCCGTAGATCAGACCTATGACTATTTGCGTAGCTAACAGACCGTATGATCTACAACGGGTGCGTTATAAGGTATTAATTCCTGCAGGATTTCAACCGTTTCTATTTTAACACATTGTAGAACAAACACCCCGCTAACGTTTGCAGTAATGCTATTTTTTGGGAGTAAAAGTATCCAATCTAGCTATTTCATTATCCGTTTAGCGATTGTGTTGTCATTACTTGCTCTCGAGATAAAAAAAACAACAAAAACAACCCAAAATAGCTCAATTGATAATCCTCTAGCAAACATCTAACATCATGATTTCAAATTAATAATCTTGAACTTTAGATGGCCATTCTATTTCTATTAAGATCATATTATAAATCAACATGTGGTAATATATTTAATTGAAGCAGCTATTGGTTTGAAGTTGATATTAATTTAAAGGGGAGCTGTCGCCGTTGCAGGCTTTTCAATATTGTTTATAATTTATTCATTAATTCCATTTAAGATAGTTCCAACCATGCGCATCTTAACAAATTAACTCCCCGGTATGGGAAGAGAGAAAGAAAGAGAGGTAAATGTGATTTAACGGTCAATCGACACAAATTAGTTTATTTCGGTTTAATTTTATATCTATAATTCTATTGCTCGTAGGGTTTTTAGTGGAGGTGAACTGGAGGACCTACACAAAATCCAAGATATTGAACGCTTTCGTACATGCGGGGAATCGAAGCCACGCCATTTGACTTAATGACAGCCCTTACGCTCTAACGCGTTAAGCCATTCGGCCACCCAGCCCCCGATATGGACAGACATGTCAGCCATTGTAAATAATGCAATGCGCAACACGTTCTCCGTTTTCAACATTATTTAAAGTAACTGACATCTCTTCTCATAGCCTCACTTACAGTATAGAAATTGTTAATCAAAGGCGAAACAATATTTCTGAAATATGCAGAGGCCAGAGTTCTCCTTTAGGGGAAGTAAAACAGACTGATTATTGGCTGACAAAAAGTCATTATCAGCAAATCATTACTATAGATCCGGTATAGTGTTAAATTTGTCTAAGGACAATATAACAAATTTATTATCTTTATTCATTAGTTTAATAAATGAGGAAATCAATCAATTTTTTAAACCAACAACCCGAGAAAAGGAAATTAATAATATATTACGTAAATACTTCTTTAAACTTGTTAAACTCTAGCTGACCTCGCTGATAAAAAAAAGTACAAGTGCCCTTTTTTCAATGTTTATGATCAGAAAAATGCCTTTGATCATATTACAGTGTTGTAGCACAACGTTAAAAAGCGCTACGTTATATCAGTTTAGCTTTTGTGTCTTCTAGTATTTAAGCTATAACATATTGAACCTTGACCGTAATTCCAACTCGTTATTCGTTTAATTTAACACGCCATTTGAAACAAGTTTAATTGCAGGCAAGGTTGCTTGTGCTTGTCAATCATTCTGGATGTTACAACCAAAGCGGCAGCTATCTAATTCCAAGATAACCTTACCATCTTCATGTTATAAGCAATATAAAAACTACAAATACTAGAAAACAGTAAATTACTTTAAAATGGCATGATCTTAAATAAACCCTGTATTCTCGAAGGCCGAGGAATGGTTCCAGAAATACGTATCTTATGGCGGTCACACTGTATATAAATACAATATTCGGAACAATGTAAACTCCACTATATTTCCCCCTCGTAGCCTGCTTAATCCCCCAACACACACACACGCACCAAAAAAAAAAATGTTGGTTACCCCCCGTTCGTACAACGTGAAGAGAGGTTAAATCATGCACGTAACGGGACAGGGGTTTAATATAGGCTATGCCTGTACTCTAACCCCTATTCATATACAAATTTGAATAAAAAATATTGTTTATTAAATAACTTGATGAATATCGGTTAATGCCAGCAAACCCTCGCTATGACTTCCAGTTTAGTATTTCGGCAAAAATAACTAATATAATATGTTAGTCCCGAAATGATCTACTTTGTGACGATGTATGTTAATCACACCCAGTTACCAAGTTAATTTCATACGTCAAATGTTTATTAAGTTTTCGTGCAAAAAACATTCTTTCAATTTATTTGACTGACTTTAAAGAGATTTTTATAACTATCCAAATTACGAATCGTATTACCTTCTGTGTGTATTTTACAACTCAAGTTTGTTATCAAATACAACTACCAGCTTTTTTTCCTTTATTTTTCCAAGGCAACACGCACTTTAGAAAAAATTATCTTTTCTGAAAAACATGTTAAACCTGATTAAAACTTGTATTATATATATAACTCTCTGAATAGAGCCAAAGTTTGGTTAAAGTTATAAATCCCACAGTACACTACATAAAGTAGCCACATGTGTCACGTGTTTACGCACACTGATCCGCAGTGAATATTTGCTAGGCCGCTACAATCACTGATAAGGATGACATCGATGCGGCTTAATGAGCCAGAAATATTAACTTTTTTTTCTGCGACAAATTAAATTCTAAAACATTTTTTTTATGTATTGGAAAAATAAATAAAGGCGTTTGACGTATTTGTAGGTAAAAATTATTTCCTATTTAGTGTAAATGGGTATTAAAATGACTAAAATGCAGCATTCTCTCCGAAGCAGTAACGTCTTATGTAAACAATGCACGCGCCATTCAGCCAATGGCAGTCATCTTTGACAGAGATATATCACTAGACTCGTAATTCTCTGTGAAACAGATTGGTGTTTACGCTGTCTGGAACGCATATCTATCCTCTGTTATGTGTTTTGCCTACTCTATGTATGACATGACAAACTGAAATTTAAAATTATGATAAACAGTTTGCGAGATTTATTGTCTTTATGATTCTCTAATATTTTGCACACTCTTTCTAGAACAGTTGATACCACTTCTTATTTATTTGGATATTACACATAGCTAACAATTTCTATTTTATTGTTATGTAATCAATCTTTATCATAACTCTTTACTAATGAATTTGTTAGACTCCTGGTATTCAACTATTTGAAGATAGTAAAACTTGTAGCCTGATCTTGTTTACTATATAAAATATTTTTTCATTAAAAATAGTTTAGTGATGTGGCGTGGTCTCTTTTTTTTATCAACTTTTCCAAAAAATTTTTTAACGTATTTTGAAGATACACAAATGATCGATCCGACACTGTCTCTGTACTACGCGTTTGTGAAAAAATATAATTTTGATTTATAAATGTATTTATTTTTTCACGTTTATCTAAATTTTATCTTCATTTGTCTTCCAAATAACAAATGAGTTTTTTCCAAAATGAACTATGGCACCCATTTTATGACAAGTAATGGCCAAGATGAAAAGGTTATGAATAATATTGGTTGCTTTATTTAATTTAAATGAAATTCTCTATGGGGCTACACCGTCTTCATTAGGTCCGTCGGTGCAGAACAGTAGGATGTGACAAAAATAAAGAAATTCGTGATACACATTTTAGAAATAATATTGTTGATATACTGTGTGTTTTATCGGATTTCACTCAACTCTTGACTGGGTGTGTTGCACCTTTAAATTTGGCAGACAAAATATGTTTTTTCTTCACGATAAAATCAACTACGCATCAAAACTTTGATAAAACAAAATGTTATGAAGATTTTTCTTTTATTTTTAGGTGCACTTTTGATGAGACTGTAAACATTGAGTGTACACGTTATAGACTATAGGGTGCTTATACTATTTATACTATTTAGGCTATCTCTTGTCAAAACTACAAACATTCTTAAATAGAATAAAGTAATTTGACTGAAATCTTCAATATTTGTCATTAAACTGAAATCTTCAATATTAGTCATTTGATTGAAGTCTTCAATATTAGTCATTTGATTGAAGTCTTCAATATTAGT